CAGGTACTTGGATAATGATATCGCTGGCATCTATCATGTGCTTATTAGCCAAACCATTAAGAACCGAATCTAATACTTCTCTGTGATGGGAATGATTGCCATGGAAGTCTTCAATACTATTCCACAACTCCCTCACCTACAAGTCAGATACAAAATGTCATTAGCAATAAACAACATTTAATTATTTACACATTTCATCAAAATGTCAATGTAAACAAAAAGTATTTTAACTTTTCACAGACTTTCTTCTTTAGTGCAAGTAAATTCAAAGTAAATAATAAAGTGTCAAAGTTGTTGAGTCGTGTCATGTTCAACACAAGTCAATGTGACACAAACAACCAGATTACTTTTTAATACCAATAATTAGTTAACTGGTGGTTTTTAAAGAAGGGTGAGCTAACTACTATAAATGCATTATTTATTCACTGTTTCATAATTGCTATTTTCATGATAAGTAAAATACACATGAACATGTAGGGTAACAGAATTTATTGTATTCCTGCCAAGTTCATCAAATCAAAACCCAGTGAAATAGCTCAAAACATCAAAATAGAAGAATGATGTTTGCTGACATTTAATTAAACTGCTAGTGAACATAATGGTTTCACAGTAAATGTTAAGTTTTGCTTAGATCATCTTTTTGACATTTGAATGCGACTGCGGCGTTTTAAACCTGCTCTGGAGGAGATAATTAACACTGGCCTTTTGAATTCTCTGTGCTCTTTTAATTGCTTCTACTTCCATCTCTCCTTCAAACCTTCCACCTGATCTTCTCCTCATTGGTACTGGACTGCCGGCTTTATGGTTCAATTCATGATTCTTCTGTCGCATATCTTCCACTTTCCTGTCCAATTCACGAATCTGTTTCTTCAGCACTCTGTGATTTTTAACAAAATCACTGAAAGATAGAAAATGTTACCAGAACGCAATAAAAAAAATGCATTTATTAATTTAAAAGTTGATAAGTAGAATAAAATTGTTCTGGCTTCAAGCATTCACCATTTGTATACAAGCAGGAAAACTGTTCATTCTTAATCAAATAACGAGTCATAATTATCATGCACGAAACATTAGCCAACAACAACAAAAAATAAAATCATTTCAATACATGCTACTTAAGGAGCTTAATTAGTCCCCGTTCGGACGGAGTCCGAAAACGGGGACTTATGTTTTGCCCTGTGTGCGTCCGTCCGTGCGTTCGTGCGTCCGTGATCACCTGTATCTCGAACATGCATGGACCGATTATGTTCAAACTTCACTCATACATCACACATTATATGGGACATATGCACATGCATTTTTTTCATGATCCGATTAACGATAGCCGAATAGCGGCCATTTTAAGGCCGAAAATGCATCAAAATGGCACATTTTCACCATTCCGGACCCGGATCTCAGTTATGCATGGACGGATTTCGTTCAAATTTGGTACATACATTAAACATAATAGGACCTTGATGCACGTCATTTTTTTTTTCGGATCAAGTTCGAAATGGCCGACTGGCGGCCATTTTGTTTTAAAGAATTCAGTTCTGGATCCGTATCAGAGACATGTCTGGATTGATCAAGTTCAAACTTCACACACACAAGGTACATCATGTCACAAATATGTATGTGCATTTGTTTCATGATCCCATTAACGATAGC